ATCTGTCATAAAATAAATTAAATCAAATGATATCTTCCTATAAATACTAATGAAGAAGTAGAGAACGATGATGAAAAAATATTATGTGGAGGCTTAGAACTCAAGTCTAGATGTCGTAAAGCAGAATATGAATTTTCACCAAGTGGCAAGTCCTTATTCCACAAATTGGATATTCCCTTCTGCGATGACAAAAATCATGCAGTTAAGGTAACAATTTCAGACATGGCCAACTCCCATAGTGTGATAGGAGAAAGGAAAACGGAAATCCATAAGTCAACACTTTATTGGATTTTAGAGAATGGAATAAACATACATTATACTAGAATTTAAAATACCATATGATTTAAAATTTTATTTTTAAACGATTGTTTTAAAAAATAGACTTCTTAAAAATATCTTGGAGTGCCACGCACGAGTTAAGTAGATTTTGAAAAAAAAAAGATAGTTTGTTGGAGAATATATTTTTGAAAAAAGTTTTAAAAGAAACATTATTTTAAAAAAAAATTCCAATTCTTTGAGTGTTGAGATGTTTACATGATTGTCTATTGAATCAATTTTCATTAGTTCATAAACAGGTGGAAATTTTATACCAACTTTCTAAATCTTATTATTATTGATGAGTGTAAAATATATCCTCAATGATTTTTCTATGTACAATTACTAATTTGTCCAAAAAAAGTTTCACTTCTTATTTACAAAAAATTTATAGTCTTTTTTTCAAAAACAAGTTGATTATTGATATAATATTTTAGTCCATGATTTAAATCTCTGTGCCCTGCCTTGTTTAACCAGTAGGATCTAATAATTTTAAACTTTTTAACCTAAAATTTAATTTTTCTTTATTGGTGCATTTATTTGAAAAAGAAAAATAAAATAAAATAATCTTGTTGTTCTCGCCACGATTAAGAAATTGACAATTCAGTATTACCAAAAAAAAAATCAAAAAATCTTTATCTTTTTAATTTCTTCATTTTAGTCATCAAACATTTAATAACTTGCTTGAGAGTAAGATTGATCATCGAAAAAATTATTGTCTTATATATTACCTTTTTAAATAAAAGCTAATCAATTATGAACTAATAAACAAAATAATATATATTTTTTATTCAAATATCTTTTAGTTATACTCTTTTGCAATTGGAATAATTTGTTCGAAAAAATGCTTAACATTTTTCTAATAATTTAAAAAGAAAAGTAAATAAATATGTTCTCTCCCATCAATTCTCTCCATTTTTTTTAGGAAGCCCCAAAAGTTCACTTTTTTTTTCCTCTTGAGATTCCAGAAAATGTACTCTAAATAGCACATAATAATAATATTAAAATGGCACATGGTGGGAGAGAGAACCTTGGCTTAATATTATTGTAATTTTAATCCTATCATAGTTTTAATATTAAGTTCATTTCTTTTATTTCAACATGAACGTAACCTGTCTCAAAAAAAAAAAAAAAGGAAAGAAAAAAGAAAAAAAAAAACATGAACATAACCATTAAGGTAAAAGTATTATAATCAACGTCTAAATAGTTAACGTATTTTGTTCGAAGTTAGAGAGGTTTAGTTCTTTATCTCTACATTCATTGAGAAAAAAAAAATTACGATACTATTAACTTCGAACTAAAAAAAGTTAATTTATTTGGTAGATCTATTTATTACTTTTCTTTATTATTAGCTTTCATGTAAAGAGGAACTAATTAAAATAATAATTATTTGTAACATTGAATATTGTAAATTTGATTTTTGTGCAACCTTCGATTTATTTAGTTTCTTATATTATTTTTACTTTGATGTCAATATAAGTTTAGATCAACGGTAATTAGTGTCAATTTCTGATTGTTGTCAAAAACTCGCACGGACCATAGTCGGAAACTCTTGCCCAGCCACCATTATCGTTCCAATTGCCAGCAATTGCCAGCAATCGTCCACGTTCTCAGTTGGACGAGAATTTTCAAAATTTTCAAATCCCTATTTCATGGCCAATTTTTTCTTATTCTTTTTTTTTTTTTAAGAATATTACGATGGTTTCCGACGTTCATATTCGTGTCGATTTGTGATAAGTTTGTTGCTTGATAATGCTTTTATCATTTTTGTCGCTTCAAACACTACTTACGTGTCTTGAGCATTCCTTCTGCTTGAACATTGCTTCGGCCACTTTTATCACTTGAACACAGCTTCTCTTACACTTTTTTAGTTAACACATGCTCATGTCGTCCTCACAAACAATGTCAAATGTTGATGCATAAATTTGGCTTATTAAAATCATCAATTTGCACCAATCTTCTAAAATAAAAAGGACTCGACGAAGCCAACAAAATATAAAAGGTAGTGTTAACCACACACAACTCACTTCGATACTTTTAAGTCATAATTGAGATTTTATGTTTACCATAACAGTAGGTTTTATAGCATTCTTAAATTATGAGTATTTTTCTTTTATTTATAGAGAGAAAAATCTAGAATTAATGAGATATTTTCTTATAACTACATAAATCTTAAACAATCACCATATTTTCTCGTTTTGAAATTCTTAGATAAACGAAATTCAAATTAGAGAAAATAGAACTTTTTCTTATCTATGACAAGACTTATTTTTATTTTTGAAATTCAACTAATAATTTAAAGTTACTTAAACATGAAAATATACCAAAACACCAGCATAATTTTAAAATAAAAATCTCACTATTCTAGTGCTTTTTTCTTTTCAAACATCTCTCCAACAAATTTATTTCTCTCCTAAAAAAAATTCTCCATCTCAAACTTTTACTTTCCTTTCTCTCTTCTAATACATTTATCCATTTTTTCTTTTTACTTTCCAAAACTTTTTTCACCAAATGTTTCCATCTGAATTTATTTTTCACATATACATCTCTAAAATTTGTCAGTCTAAAACTTCTCTTCCTCCCTAATACCTTTTTTTTTCTCTCTAACAAATACATTTTTACTTTTCTCCGTCTAAAATTCTATTTATATTTTCTCTCACTATAACTTTTATTACTTTTTATATCTTATTTTTTTTCTCTCTAACATTTTTTTTTTCAACTTTTACTCTCCCGGTGAAACATCTCCTTTTATTTGTCTCTCTCTTCCTCTTACTAATATCCTTTTTAAGATAGCTCTTGCTCTCCAAATATTTTTCTCTCTCTAAAATTTCTCACAATTATATAAATTTTTATTTTCCAACCTCTACATATTTTTCTCTCACCGACACATTTATGCATTTCTCTTACTCTTTTAAAAAAAGAAAATTGAGAAAACAGTAATCAAATATGTCTGATTTCCATTTTTAAAAATTAAAAAACAAAAAATAGTTACCAACTACCATGGTATTAAATATTCGTCGACATGACGACATTTTTATATATTCATAACTTTGACATCGACATTTTCATAACATTACAAAGAGATCAATAAAATTTAAAATTTTCAACATGTCACTAATATAGAAAAAAGATTAACATTAACTTTTTTAAACTTATCTAAAAATGATGAAATATTTATTTATCAATTTATATATTTTTTACGAATTTTTACTTTATTTTTATAATCTTTCTAAAAATATTCATCCCATCAACATTTTCATATAAATTTAAAACTTTGCTCGCTACAACATTTTTATGATTTTCAGAAAAAGGAAAATCAAAATGGGTATCGCACGCGTGGAAATTGTTATCAAATGCCAAATGGGGCTCAAACTTTTCTGTTCTCTCTCTCTCAACTCTCAATTCTCGGCCAAGGTTAGTTAGTTTTGGTTCTTTCAAGTTTCTCTTTCGCATTTCGCTCTTCATATTTTGTAATTTCTTCAGTTTCTCCGATCTATGAGATACGCATGCTCTGTTCTTAATTTCTGTGGATCTGTTTTTTCGCAATTTGTTCTTTGGTAATTCGGACCGCCTCCGTCGTTTATTTGTTCAATGTTCATCGTTTCCGATCTTAATCCTCTCTCGGTTACGATCGGAAATTGGAGTCCAAACTTTCAAATCGAATTTCGATAGGTTTTAGTTCTTGAAACAATTCATTACATTCTACCAAATTCGAGTGGTCTGTAATGGAGCCTCTGAAACCTAATTGGATTCGTCCATCTGTTTCTTTGCGAATAGAGCCATGGAGGGTTTGGTTTCAGTAGTTTTCTAACTTTATTGCTCATTTGGATTTGAGAATTTTAAAAGATTAATGACGAGAGTTCATTGTTCTAGGCGGATTGATTCGGATCGTTTTTTTTTTTTATTATAGCTTATTAGAAACTGATGCTAAAACCAACCAAATTTCTTCAAATCGATCCGATGAACTATTTGATTGTTTTTTACTTTAGAAAATCGAACCAACTATTTTCTTCCCTTTTTCGTCCCCTGTCCAAAATGTTTGGTAATTTAATCTGTATGCAATTTTTCTCCTGCATATTTATTAAGTTTCCTCAATCTTTCATTTTGTTGCTATGATTTGAAAGACCTTCATTTTTTGTTTGGAAGACAGTGAGTGAGCTTTGAGATGATTCTTTCGGATCCTTCATTGTTTCAGCTTCTTTTTTCCAAGTTGAGTTATGCTCAGAGTGACAAATTCTAGGCTGATTCAAGTGATTCATTTCCTTGCCAGAGATATGTTAAAAAAAATTCAAATATCATGGTCGTACGTTATAGGATATCATAAAATGTTCGGTTGAATTTCTTGACTCTATATAATTGTAGAGTTTTGTCGTTGTCTCATAGAATTAGTCTTTAAGTCCATAGTATAGTTTATTATAAGCTGACACGAACACTCACCGTCAAAATCGTAAACTCTACGATACAGTGTTACTTGCAGCAAGATTGTAGTCCTCCTCACTGAACCCTCCTTCCTTTTCTTCCTGTTTGGGTGTTTTCAACATGAAATATGCTACCTGGTTTCTTTAATATGTTTGCTCGTTAGGAATTTGCTTCTATTTAGTGTCAACTCCAAGTTGCCAAGACTCTTGGCTTGAGCCAAAATTTAGTTTTAACATGAAGCCTAGAAATGTGAACATAATCCTATGTCAACTAGAAGGGAGAAAGATTCATAATATACCAAGACAACTTCATACGTTACAATTGAAATGTGAAGAGTCTATTATTTAAACAAGATAGTAATAAGTTTGAATAGGGGTGAGTTTCGAGCACGGTCCTCCATATAAAAAAATTAAAAAGCCCATCAACTTGGAGCATAAATAATCAAAGGGATGAGAAAATTGGGACACCGGGTAATGTGGCTCCTGCATCAACTATGAAAACGTTTCCTGAGACATATTCAGAAGAGTGGTGCACTAGATATCGAATGAGCGTTGTTAATGCTGGATCAGAGGTTCCAAATGTTTTTAGAGGGACAGTTCTCAATGCTATGTTGTTAAGCCAATCTTTCTGCATGAGACCCTGTGTAATCTCAGATTTGAACAGTCCAGGAGATATGGAATTCACTCTGATTTTGTGTGCTCCTAGTTCTAGGGCCATAACCTGTTGTCATAAAATTAATTTCTCAAAGTTACGTATAATTATCAAAAGGAGATTTCTATTGATGTCACAAATCGGTAGCACAATGCATAAAATTCAAAGCAATACCATAGCTGATTAACTGATGGTAAAAACTGACCAGAAAAGAGCATGCAAATATGTGTTTGGCTCACTAGCTGATATGAAACTATGAAGTTTAGTTTTGTTGATCTCATGTTATGAATTTCAAACACAAGCTACCTGCCCCAATACTTACCAAACTTCAAGTAACACAACTTTATTTATCAAAATGATGAGCCAAGCATCCCCTCAAGTTCTAAAGACCAAAAACTAGTCGATACAAGTAACATAACATTACCTTTGTCATAGTGTTTAAGCCCGCCTTTGAAGCAGAGTAGGCAAGGCCTCCCGGTAGTTGCCCTCTACTAAGACCAGCAATCGAAGAAATGTTGATGATGGATCCACCTCGATTGGAGTCACGCATATGTATGCACACATACTTCGATACCAACCACGGTCCTTTGAGGTTCGTGTCCACCACTCGATTCCATTCCTCCTCAGACAATTCCAGCGGAGACTTCACAGTTCCTAATGTGATAGGATATAAAAAGATTTGTTTATAGAAATACACAATTCACAAAATAGGCTTAAAATTCTTCAAACCAAGTAAAATAACCATCCATCACAACCAGAAAATCTCTGCCCCTTCTTGAAGATCAAGATATTGGGGAAACTCATCAATCCGTCAAAAACTAGCCAAACAGTTTCTACTGAGAAGGTTTTCTAAAATCGATTTGATGAAAATTCGAATATCCGCCCTGAATTTTCCAGAGAACCAAACAGAAAATGAAGTTGGAAAACAGAGAAATTACCTCTCAAACCTGCATTGTTAACCAAAGCGTCGATGAAGCCGAAGGAGTCCCAAGCTTCTCTCACGGACTTCTCGATACTCTTTCCATCGGCGGCAACATCAAGCTCCATCGCCACAGCTCGAGGAATCTCCGCCGCCGCAACGGAAGAGGAACCGGAGAAACCGAGGCGATTAATTTCGTCGCAGAGAGATTGGAGTCGATCGATACGGCGAGCGGCGGCGATGATCCTGCAGCCGGCTCTGGCAAGATCGAGGCAGCAGTCACGGCCGAGCCCCGAGGAGGCGCCGGTGACCATCACCACTTTGCCGTCCAAGTGGTTCCACGGCTCCAGCTGAGTAGAAATCTGCCGAATCGCCATAAATTTTTCCCGTCGCCGGCCGAAGAAGAAGCGGAGGAAGTTGTAGAGGAAGAAGAAAACAGAGAGGATTCAAGAAGATTACAAATACTCTGACCAAAATGTTGCAATGAAAATGGCAATAAGTTTCGCGAAAGAGACGCAGAAAACAGAAAGGCTTCCACTACTTTTCCGTTTTTTTCATTTTTCCTTTTATTAGTTCAAAAAACAAATATTATAAGTTCACATGAGGGTATTAATTTCTGTCGTATATTTACACGTGTAAATCGATTCAACATTGACATGGGTGATTCACCCTCGATATGTTCCGATCTATTCTAATTCATTTTAGTCTTTTAATTTTAAAAAATTTGTTTCTTATTAAATACATTTCTGTATTTATAAAAAGTTAAAACAAATTCTGCATTTCAAAAAATATGTAGACAGTATTGTATTAAAATTCTGATAGAAAAAATAAGATTAAAATTAAAATTAAACGATAAAAATGGTCACTTTATAAAAGTACAAAAGATAAAAATAAATCAAAATTAAAAATATTTTAATCTTAAATAAATGTACAGATATCTCATATTAGGATTTGTTTAATATTGGAGGTTTGGCTGGTAGTTAGGTAGAAGGAATGAAGACGGAGTTTCCAGGTGAAGTTCAAGGAAGCCAATCCCAAGTCCCTTTCCCATTTAGGTAGTTTACTTTGACTTTGCTAAAAGAGTCCCTTTACATTTAGCATCTTCCAATAATAACAAATTAAGATTTAAATATTAATTACACTTTGGTTCATTTTCGTCATTTTACTTCCTAACGTCTATTTTGATCTATATAATTTTAATTTTTGTCCATGTATTTTTACAATGTCTGTTTTAATCCTTGTACTTTTAAAAAGATATCATTTTTGTTTCTACATTTTCAATTTATTTTCATTTCTTTCCATTATAAATTTAGTATGACTTCACTCATTAAATTTTCTTAGAATGTAGCTACAAATTTGTATTAAACGATTTCCGTCATGTATAAAATTTGTAGTCACTTTTTAAAAGGAGAGTGATTGGAATGGACTTTTTGAAAGTACAATGACCAAAGTAAACAAAAATTTACCAATTTGGAACCTATTGTTTATGCTTAGTTTCAATTTAGTCCTCGTGATTTTTTTCCCTTTGAGTACAACATGTCGGGGAGGGATTGAACTCACAATCTTCTTAGTTGGAGGTATATGCTAATTACCGTTGAGCTATGCTTGTTTTGATGGTCCTCGTGATTTTAAAAGCTTCAATTCGCTACTTTTGATTTGGTCAAACCTCATCAATTGTCTTTGTTATTGCATATTGTTATCATATTCAATACTGGACACATTTTCTATTAATGTGGTAATGAGATGGTGTTTTCTATTTTTTTCACCGTATTGTATTAGGAAATATTATTTAATATGACTGTCACATTACAGTTGTGCCCCCCTTTGAAAACCCTTGGATGCATGATTAAACCATGACTTTTATTTTCTCTCTCTTGCACCCAATCGTGTAAAATTATCTGTCACATTGTTCTAGCCTCCTTAAATAATTTCTCATGTATTAAATTGAGAAAAACAAGGAATAAAAGGGCGAGTAAGGAGTGAATTTTTAAGTGGGTAAAAAACAGTTTGTGAACAATTTGTGATGTTTAACAAAACCATAACAACCAGAGCTAAACTCAAGCTATATACAAAGCAAATTACCATTGAAATATATGCCAATGGTGTGGGTGCGAATGCCAATTACGATTGAGCTATGCTCGTTTTAACTGTTTATAGTTATAATTTTTTTTAAAACTGTTTATAATTATAATTAATCATTAAAGTGTACCTAATCCTAATTTGTCTCACGGTGATATTGTCTAAAAAGAATCTACCTTTTTGTCTATTTGAGACTTCTTTTCTAGGGAGATTTTAAGGGGACATGTGAGAGTGACACTTTATTTTGAAAATCACATGGCATCGTCGTGTGACCATGAAGTTAATAGTATTGTAGCAAAAATTGTGAACCATGAATCGTGTTTTAATCAAGAAATGAGTAAAAAGAGTATTGTCATCTCGATTAGATTTTCTATACTAAAACTCAAATTTTACTAATTGAAATCATGAGTGAATTAATTAACCTAACAAAGGATTGAATGTATTGGGTGAGAGAACTCGATAGCATTTAAAAATAGTGATTCCATGTTAATAAAATAATATATTATTTAATAATGTGTCAAATTGTAAATGGAAGAGTATGTATTAAGATATTATATATATATATATATATATATATATATATATATATATATATATATTTTGTATTAGTCACGTAAATTAAAATTGAAATTTTTTATTTTTATTTTTTTGAAGAATTTCATTCAAGGAAATTAGAATGTCACTATGGCTACTAAATGAAGTTTAATTCCGTGTTGAACAGGTAGCCTTAATGACATTCTAATTTCCTTGAATGAAGTCTAATTCAAAAAAGTAAAGAAAATTTAAAATGTCTATTTTAATTATTGAAATTTAGAAAAGTAATTATTTTGCTCATTCCTCCCTAAAACTGTATTCTATTTCTATTTATTAAAAGTAAAATGAGAATTAATTTTCCAAATTATAATTGGTTGGATTGCAGACTCGATGGAATGTAATTACGTCTCATTCAATAATAATAAACCATATAATAACGTCTCATTCAATAAATATAGGACCACAATAGCACCCTAGATTGATAATTAAAATTGACATAAGATTCAAGGAGGCACCTAATATATGGAGCTGGACTCGATAAAGAAGTTAATTTGAACCTAGTTCAACTGGTTAAAACACAAATCTGCAATGTCACGCGATCGAATCTCCACTTCCACGTGTTGTATTAAAAAAAGGTTCATAGTTTCTCATCTTGTACTTCCTACACTATAACCTTTCCGACCACACAATTCGGTCCATATCTAGTGGGGACGTTACAGTTGAGTATCAACAACTTGTTCATGTTCGTCTATTCAAGACGGGGCAAGCAGGCCACATACATGAAAAGAAGAAGAGACAGAGGTTCCTTGATGTTAAGGTGTTTCTAAACGCAATTCAACGATTTTGTTTGTGCTTATGTTTGGCGATTTCTGATGTGAATTCAGCGGGTCATCCCTCCTTCCTATGGGTTCCCACTGGGAAATCTTCTCTTATGTCTTTCACGACCCGCTTCCTATGGGTTCCCACTCAGAAATCTTCTCTTATGTCTTTCACCTCCCACCCAACTCGAAAATCAAATCCAGCCTCCTAAATAATCCATTCATTTCTCTCTTTCCCTTCAATGAAAAAAAAAGACTAAAATCTTTAGTCTCTCGAAAGATTTGATTTTTGAAATCAATATTGATGCTCGAATCCATTAAATTCAATCCTCCAAGTTCCAAAGATAGCTAGCTCAGAGCTCAACCCCATTAAATTCATGGGGAACCCGATCCCCATGAATTCCCCGTAGGGAATCCCCACTCCGGTCTCTGTCTATTTTAGTACATGTAATTTCAACTCTTACTCATGTATTTTCATAATATCCATTTTGATCCTTTCATAATATCCATTTTGATCTTTATACTATTAAAAAGTGGTCATCTTTTTAATTTATTTAATTTCTTTGTATTCTAATTTTAGCATGACTTGATTAGGGATGTTCATTTTTCCCATGGGACTCCGTCCCTGCGGGAACCCGCCTAAATAGGGCAAAGAATCTCTGTTTAAATTCCCCACGGGTGGGGATGGGAGAAAAATTTTCCCCACCACCTAAATGGGGACCGGGACGGGAAATACATTCCCCATCCTCATTCCCCGTTCCCCGCCCCACGTCATTTTTTTAAATATTTATATATATACATATACACACTAAAATAGTTATATTATTCTCTTTAAATATATATGTACAAGTACTGTTCTAAACCCACCTACCTAATATATGTATTAGAGAATTAGATCTTATAAATTAAGCAACTAAATAAATTTTCTTTAAGAAAAAATATTTATTGACAAATAATTAATTTAAAACATAAAAAAAGAAATAGAGAAAAATTCCCCGAATTTCCCGCAGGGAATCCCCACCCCGATTTCTGCAAAATTTTGTGGAGAATTTCGTGGGGATGGAGAATTAAATGGGATGCGGTGATGGGGACGAGGGACGGGGATTCCCTAGACTTGGACTCACTAAATTTCTTAAAATGTAGTTATAAATTTGTATTAAACGATTTACATCGTGTATAAAATTTGAAAGGTAGGGAGTCTAAAACAAATATTTTTAAAAGTACAATGACCAGAGCTTACCCATTTGGAAGTTATTGTTTAGGTTTGAATTTTTATGATTTTAAAATTTTCCATTTGCTCCGTATGCTTTAGTCAAACCTCATAAATTATCTTTGTCATTACATAGTATTATCATATTTAATGCTTGACACATTTTCTATTAATGTGGCAATTAGTTGGGTATTTTCTATTTAATTCACCAGGTTAGGTTAGCTAATTGTGTTAGGAAATATTATTTAATATGACTGTCACATTGTAGTCGTGCCCCTTTAAAACTCTTGGTTAAACCACCAAGTTTAATTTCTCTCTATTGCATCTAAAGTATAAAACTTACCGTCACATTGTTCTAGTCTCCTTTAATAATTTTTCATGTATTAGATTGAGAAAAATAGGGGGAAAGAGTGAGCAAGGAGTGAACTAGGTAAAAAAAAAGGCTGTGAATAATTTGTGATGTTCAACTAAACGAATAAGAACTAAATTGAAGTTAAACTCAAAACCATATATGAACCAAATTGATAATTTAATGTTAAGAAAATAAGGTTAAAAAACTTGTATTCTAAAATAAGTTAGAAGACTAAAAAATTTGTTACGATGAGCATAGCTCTGATTAGGTAATACTTTTATCTCCTCAAAGATCCAACGTCTTAAGTCTCCTCGATTCTTTCGTTGAATATATATATAAATTTCAATACAAAATTTTGAGAATCTAAATACTAGATGCACAAGAAGGGAAAAAAATAAAAATAAATAAAGTCCGGCCATTTTTTATGTTAAAAAAAATTATAGAAAAGGACTGAATAACTTATTAAATAAATTAGGCTAATTTTTTTTAGTACAATTTACAACCTCTTAGTTTGAGATATATGTCAATTAATTTCGAAGTTACGTGGGATTCGGCAGCATTTAGGTTAAATTAGTAAATTTGACGTGGTTGTATTTAATTAATTTATTAGAAAGTATGGTTTAAATCATTCAGTAAAGTATGTTTATAGTTATAATTAATCATTAAAGCGTACCTAATTTT